CATATGCATAATTTTCCTGTGTGTCTGTGCTGGAATTGCAAATCAATCCCTGCGTCTCAGCATCTTCCAGAATATCTCAGTATCTTCCAAAATATTTTCTCTGGAAGAAAAAGCCAATCAAGACTAGAAATTTGGAGGATTTCACCATAATTGAGGATAGGTTCAAAGAAAATCAAGAATAGGAATCTTAAGAAGGAAAATTCTTAATTTGGCAAGGAATCCTATTCAAGACCTAATGGGGGTTAACCTAGGATAGATTTTTGGAGGCAAAATAAACCCCTCTTTTGACTCATATTTCAGTATCCGGAGGAGCTGCCACCTCTGAGGAAGATTTTAGGTTTTCTTAGTTAACTTTTATTCTTCTATTTTGTTAGTGTAGTTGACGCATGTCAAGGAGAGAAGGAGGAGACAAACCTAAACCTCTTTGTGACTCAATTTGGTGAATTTATTTTAATTTAGCATTGTGTTCTCTTTAATTTTTTTTGTTAGTTTAGCTTTAACTATGTTCTAAATTTCTTTTGTTAGAGCTACAATGGATCTTAACCATAATTGATTGATTATCAAGACATGCTCATGCAATATAGTTGTTCTGATTGTGTCGTTCTCTATCATGATCTTAATGCTTTTATAAGTTTGGCCAACTTTTAAATGATTTTCGATGTATGCATGATACCGGGTGGAGATTGCATGCATGTGCACTAGTGATATTGAACCATAAATTAAATCTAGGTCAAGGTACACTAGGTTGTTTGTGTGGTTGTGGTAGCAGATCTAGGTTGGGACTACTTAGATTAAATCCGGGAATTTCCACAAGAACTTAATGCTTTTAGGTAGTTTAAATTCACCTAAGGTTAGTGTGGGTTAACATACCTAATTAGGGATTATTAGACCGAGGTCAGCTTGTAATCTAACTTAGGGAAAATTCACCAACACAATTGGAAATTAATTTGTTGCATGACAAGTTATGAAAATTGATTATGAGTGGTTAAGTGAAGTTGGATGCTCTAACGCTTTGTGATCATGGTTAAAATCTTGATAATTTGCCTTGTTAATTTTCGGTTTGCTTTGGATTAGGTCTACTTTGCAATTTTAATTAGCTTTTGAATCCTTTAAGCTTCGGCTCTTTTGTATTTCAGTCCTTTAATTGGTTTAGTTCACTTTTTACTTGCCTTTTCGACTTGGTTAGCTAGTTCCTTGGATTGATCACCTTCGGTAAGTAATTGAATAATTAGAAACAATCCTCATGGAAACGATACTCACTCATCACTTTATTACTTGTAGATATTGTGCGCTTGCAATTCACTTAACAAAGATTTTAGCAAGGCAAGGCTAAGGTTATAAGTTTGGAACTTCACCTATATGAACATAAGAAGTAGTGCCGCTTCTAACAATAGTTGGATGAACTTTTGTAAATGTTCATGAATGCAGGAGGAAGTACAAGGCCAAAAAAGTGTTAAGGCACAAGAAATTTCTAACCGAATTTGTGTAAATTCATATATGCGATAATTCGATTAATAAATGGAATCATGGTTCAAAATTTTATCTGACACTGATTTCGTTAATGAAATTATTCACACTAATTAAAGGTTCAAATCTTAACAAATATCTTCTTGTATATATGAATTTATGTAAATTAGTACATGTAATGTGCTGGCTCAAATAAGACTATAACAGGAGCCCTGATTGTTTGGGCGAAAAGGAAAGGAAGGGTGTCGATATGTCTCTGATTGTTCTGCGAAAGTACCGTAGAGAATTATGGTGTTTTATCTTTGCCAATCACATCTCCAAGTATGACTAGGTCTATAGACCAGGAAAATTACCAAAAAAGTCATAAACCTATTATACTTGTGCCAATTCAGTCCTACACATTTCAATTTGACCAATTTAATCCTAAACTTTTTGACGTTTACTAATTTAGTCAATCCAGCCAATTTTGGTTGGAAATCGATGATGCGGACGCCAGACGTTCTACGTGGCATGACTGATGCTAACATAGACAATTTTTATTTTCAATTTTCAATTTTTTTTCTTTTCTTCTCTTTTCTTTCTTTTCTTTTTTTTTCACTGTGGCCAGTGAGCCTCACCTGGGCAAGGGCTGCGAAGCCCTCATCAGATGCGAGCAAGGGGAGGCGAGGGCCGTCGTGGACAATTTATATAGCATATAAATGCCACAGTGAAAGGAAAAAGAAGAAAAAAAGGAAAAGAAAAAAGAAAATTTAAAATTTAAAAAAAAAACTAAAAAATTATCCACGTCAGTGCCGGTCATACCACGTAGCACGGTCGATATCCATGTCAATAATTTTCAGTCAAAATTGGCTGTATGGAGTGCATTGTTAAATTGTTAAAATGTTTATGACTAAATTGATTATATTGAAAGGTTTATGATTGAATTGACATAAATGCAATAGATTTATGACTTTTTTGGTAATTATCCCTCTATAGAGCTGCCGACGACATTTGCCAAGCGTCTCTTCTGTCTTGTTTCGGGGCCCCAAAGGACAATTAGGGCAGGCGTGATTTGATTAGGCTCCAGAAAGGAAATGATTAAGGGCAATTTTCCCGACAATCCAAAACCCAATTAGGAGTTTTTTGCCAGGCATCTAAAGTCTAATCGAGCGCATAATTTAGATTTTTTTCTTCTTTTTTCTTATGGTGATGATGAATTTGGATGATGGCATCGCTAATTTTCTCCCAATTCCGGCCATTATTGCTTGGTGATTGCACCCTTTTTCTTTGTATTTATGGAGTTTGCCTATCGGATGGCTCGATTAGGTTAGGCTTAAAATTTATGGTAAGTATAATCCAAGAAGAGGGAATGAATATATGGGGCCACTTATAGTTTAATCGAGTCACATGTCTTAACTCATTCGTTCACTAGGACATGCCACTAAGGCCTAGCGATAGCATTAAGAATTAAGATAGATTAAACGTAACTTTATCTATTTTAAAGTACAAAATATGCGAGGTGTAAATTGCCGGTTCGACCTTAATGACGAGGAAAGTAGATTTATTGAAAAGTCAAGCGCAATGACCGGTAATCAAAGGAGATTAAAAGGAAAAAAAGGGATGAAATTAAAGAAAATTGAAGCTAAGAAACACGAAATGAAAGGGAAATCGAAGTAAACACTGAAGGGGGAAATCGTTGGAAAATAAAAACACATGACTGGAATTGAAATAACTCGAAAGCTACAAACATGCCGACGCTCCACCGGAAACATCGAAACGAACGCTGCACCAATATTCATTGCATACCTTACAAATCACATGCTTTGCTCTAAAGCTAAAATGAAAACGGAAACGCATTTCATTTATTTCCTGATTTTCCTTCTTCCCATTTGTGGAAAAGATGCACTATCCATGCCAAACTGATAGCTCGTGTTAGGTCAGTGGATTGAGAATTTGAGGGCACGCGCCAGCATAAGCCTATCAATGTATGCTGCCGAAGCAAGAACACAGGCGTCGTTAATGGTAGAGATTCACGTGGCTCTGTTCATCAATTTGCAGCCTGAGGTCGGGTTAAGTGGTCCTTGTTGATGGTATCAATAAAGCAAATATGAAAAGACCACCAAGGCACTGCGTGACGCTGATGTATCTGTCTGCACGCAGTGAATTCTCAGTCACGACCATGTGACGAGGTCACTACACATGAAAGCTAAGTTTTCTGGTTCGGAATAAATGCCTTAAAAATCCTAAAATTTATCATTAAAGTGCAATTGAGTCCTAAAACTTTCAAAAAGTGCAATTGAATCTTAAAACTTATCATAAAATGCAATTGAGTCCTAAAACTTTCAAAAACTGCAATCAAATCCTAAAACTTGTCATGTTAGTCCAATTAAGTTCTTCTTTTAATTGCACCTTTTAAAAGTTTTAAGACTCAATTGCACTTTTGCAACAAGTTTTAGGACTTGATTGCACTTTTTGAAAGTTTTAGGACTCGATTATACTTTCGTGACAAGTTTTAAGACTTCTAATACGCTTATCCCTTCTGGTTTTTTCGAGAGGATATGCGTGTTGCTTATTGCTTTTGAGATGAGGCTTTCTTGTTGCATGCAGTGTTATCCAGATCTCTCGAAACGCCAATCAGAATATAGCAAAAGCTGAAGAATATTCACAGTATGAGGAGGTTCATAATTGATGTATCTGCAGAAGAAACCCTAGTTTCTATGAGCCAGAGAAGCATATTTTGGTTCGTTTTCAATGCAGAATGATTGTCGCTGTGGAGTCAAGATGGACTATTTTAAGTTTCAATGATTAGTCTCCAGATTTCCGAGCTCATAATTCACCTCGCATTGAATAATGGAAGGTACCCATTATCACAGAATAATATGGTGCGAGAAGATGCAAGGGACAACGTCACAAGAAGAACACACACCCTAGACTGAATTAAAAACATCGCACGTTCTACTAGTTCGATGAGTTTTTGCTGAACACGGTATGAAAATCGGAAGATCATAGCATGCATCATTGGCATTTAAAAACCATATCGTGAAAACATAATACTATTTCAAGAACCGAATCAAGGAACTTTTTTTGGGACAAAAATAGTTATATGAACGTAACGACGAACCTTGCAAAGAAGATTACATCAATCTCTAACATTCATTACGAATAGCAAACTAAGTTCTTATACGCCGCCGGTCGCCGAATACCAGAAAACATTTTCCGAAACTTTTTCAGATTTTAGCCGAACACCAGAAAATTGTGTTCCAGGAAAATGACTTCCGGGAAAATATTTTCCAAAAGGAGAATATTTTTCGCCAAACGAACGGAGCCTTAATGTGCTAATGATACTGTACTTATTGGTGACCTTTTCCTAACACAACCATGTGCCTAGGTTATGGCTCATTCCGATTAAGCCAGCGTTAGTGTACGAATCATTTCTGTCACTTCATGTCCTATCGCGGTAATTAGATGTTCGTGAACATGAAATGATTTGACAATAAATTTCGCATGACTAGAGTGTGGCTGCTTTACGTGATCAAAGGATGTCAAGACTCAACGGAGACTTGAGCCACACGCTTGCAGATAAGAGATATCTACCAATCATATTTAGGTCTTCGTCAAGCCCGACGGGAAGGTTGACTTGGTGACAGTATATAGTCAAGTCTACAAATAGAGGAGTGAGCATTCCGAAACTCCCATTCTAGAGAGCCAACCATGGAGTCCGAGCTCTACGAAGCCGCTGCGAAAGGAAACGTGCATTCTTTGCTCGAGTTGCTTGTAAAAGATAAGCTGCTTCTCGACCGAATCATGACTGGGAATCACACCGAGACTCCTCTGCACATCGCAGCCATGCTTGGACACTTGGAATTTGTGGAAGAGGTCCTAGCTCGGAAGGCCGAGCTGGCAAGAGAGCAGGATTCTCAGAGATCCACGCCTCTTCATCTCGCGGCAGCCAAAGGGTACCTTAACGTAGTGGCCAGCTTGTTAAGAGTCAGTCCTGAAATATGTTTCGTTCGCGACAAATACGAAAGAAACCCTCTTCATGTCGCTGCCATGAAAGGACATGTGGATGTGTTGGAACTCTTGGTTCGAGCGAGACCTGATGCAGCCCGTAGTGTCGTTGAACATGGCCAGACGATCTTGCATTTGTGCGTGAAGCACAACAGACCAGAAACTTTGAAGCTTTTGATGGATATCTTGGGCGATGAGCAGTTCATCAACACGAGGGACGAATATGGCGACTCGATTTTGCATTTGGCTGCTGCAGATAGACAAACTAAGGTATGTTCATACAACCAAACCTCTGTATTAGTCAAATTCAGTGAGCTTATCAACAAAAGAGGCGGTTCTAGGATGGAATAATGACAAAAATAGTGCTTAAACTTTGGCCCCATATGCAATGTCATCTTTTGGACTTTTAATTTATTCGACGTAGTCCTTGAACAATAAATTTAGTTAAATCTGTAAATTAACCTTTTGTGTTTCCTGTTTTCTCAATAAATTTAGTTAAATCTGTAAATTAACCTTTTGTGTTTCCTGTTTTCTCAATAAATTTAGTTAAATCTGTAAATTAGGAAATTAAAATAGCTGGAATATTGACCCGATACAACATTAAATGAGATTCTACTTTTGCTACTATAGAGATCATAAATTAAAATATGCTTAAATAAAACTATCGTAATTTTTATAAATGTCAAAAAGGTGAAAACGTAATAAAAAGATAGCCATATTTTTTGTTGATTTAGGTTATGGATTGAAATAAAAAATTTCTTAAATCGAAGCAATAGTGTAATTATGAAGACTTTTGACTTTTTTAGGGAAATTGAGAGACTAGATTGAACAAATTAAAATTTCAGGACTAAATTGAACATTTAGGAATACTTCAAAGACCGTATTGAACGAATTAGAAGTTCAAGAATGATATTGTACATTGACCCAAAGTTAAGGGAAAATTTATGTTATTTTCCCATTCAAGGATATTTTAGTGTCCTAGAAATTTTCAGAAGCTAAAACATATCCATTTATAAATCATCGAAGGTTACGATATTTGAAAAAGAAGTAACTGGTCTAGATAATTAAGTACAACTTTACACTTTGCGCTATTTTCATGCTAATTTTATCTAGATTAGAAGGAACATAAAACTAGAGATAGCAAAAGAGATTCAACAAGGGATGGGTGTCCCTTGCGAAGGCGTCAAATAATAGTCACAAACACTACAGGACTGAAAAAACATAGGTACCAAAGTTAATCCTGAAATGTATATAACATGGGCTAATCCAGTTCAAACCTAACCCCAATTGCTACATTCTGTTGTTACTCCTTTGTAGACTATTGACTATCTGATCGATAAAGGAGTAAACCCGAACATTGCGAACTCTAGAGGTTTCACAGCAGTCGGCCTATTAGCACATGGTGAAAGCGCGGGAAGAGCCTTAGAGATTAATCCTCAAACTTTAGAGAATCACGATCCATCCGGACGATCAATCGACCCGAATAACATGGTCACCGGCTTCCATCCACCTGTAGGGGAAGAGGGTGAAAGAGAAAGAAAGAGAAAGTGGCAAAATACTATGCATAAGACGCTAATGGTGGTAGCAATATTGCTAGCTACCATGGCATTCCAAGCCAGTATTACCCCACCCGGCGGCCTTTGGCAAGATGATTTCTCGGGCAATGAAAATTTCCCAGCACATACTGCGGGCGAGTCCGTAATGGCAGATAAGTACCCGATTGGTTACAAGCGTTTCGTAACATGTAACACGATGAGCTTTGTCGCATCACTTAGCATCATTATGCTTCTCATAAGCGGTCTTCCTCTAAAGCGGCGTCGTATCACCACGTGGATTGCAATGCTAACTATGTGGGCTGCGATAACCTTCACGGCGGCGACTTATGCCATCTCCATATCTGTCTTCACACCAGTGAGCGAACTACAAACTTTTAATGAAGCAATTGGATATGCGGTGCTGGCATGGGTTGTATTGATGGCTCTTCTTTTCCTTTGCCACGTTGTTCGCTTAATCCTAAAATTGGTACGCAAAGTCCTGAAATTTGTTCGCAAAGCCTCGACAGAACGCAGGCCGGAAGATCTTATGGTTTAGTAATTGTATATCGCTGCAAATGGGTTTGTTCTAGAAGAAGCACCTTGAGCCCTATGAGCATGCAGGAGGAGATGTTATACAATATGTATTGTTCGGTGTGCCGATTAGACAACCAAGCTATGATGCGTTTGAGTATGCATGTATGTGTATGTGCTAGTGCAAACAATAAATGTTTTAAGCGTGTTGAATTTATGCAAAAGATGGAGTTTAGATGTATAATGGATGGTTGTTTTGTTTGATTTGATTCGATTTGTGGCGGTTTGAATATGATTTAGTCGATAGAAAGTCCAAAAATCTCAGCCGTGGGATCAATTTCAAGAGGGTTAATACCACAAAAAACCCTAAATTAGTACACATGTGACAAATTTACCCCGAACTAGTTTTTTTACCATGAAAAACTCCAAAGCGGTACACCTGTGACAAATTTACCCCAAACTAATTTTTTGACTACCAAAAACCCCAAAGCAAATTTACTCTCCATTAAATTGGATTAATATCGCAAAAAATCACAAATTGATAAACATGTGACAAATATAGGGGAAAAACCCCAAACCGGTACATCCGTCAACTTCCACGTATCATCCAATTTAGTAATTTAACGGAAACTAACGGAGATTAAATTTATCACCGGTGTACCAATTTGAGGTTTTTGGTGGTCAAAAAATTAGTTTGAGGTAAATTTATCACAGATGTACCAGTTTTGGATTTTTCGTGGTATTAACCCATTTTAAAAAGTGTAACTTGAACATGTTGAAGCGGTAATTTATTGACAATGAAGGAAGTATGTTCCTATGGAATTGCAAATTTTATGATTAATTAAGGAAAATCACGACAATCAAAAGCATTATTAATTATGGATTGGCGTACAATGATAAGATGCAGCCCATATTCAAGACCAACTCGCTCAGCCAAGAAGATTAGCCCGTATCCAAGCTCGATGAGTCTCTTATCGATAAGCATAATGTTGATAAGCCTCTCATCGATAAGCCTAAGATCGATGAGCTCTCATCGGCAAGTCCCTCACCGGTAAGAGTCTTATCTTTGACTATGTCATAAAGGCTTTGTTATTTCCCATGCATTGGAAGCTTGCAACATGACACTTTAGGACAGCCACAAGCATTGGAAATATTGTACTTTTAATAGCTCCTAGTTTCTATATTTGACTTTAATCTTTTGCTTTTCTTTTGTGTTGCTATAAAAGGCCATCAAGTTTATGTAAGCATACTGAATTTGAATAATGAAATTTGGTTAATACAATTCTCTTGAAGAGTTCATACCCCTTAAAAACCTAGAAGAGTTTTCACTCCATCCTTGAAGAGTCGGAGATTTTAAAGTCTGCATCCTTGAAGAGTTGCAGCCATCAATCTAGAAAAATTGTTGCCATTTCAACTTCCATATGGGCCTAGAAGAGCAACCATTGAAGTTCATATTTTTTTCAGCATTCCATCAATTCTCGTTCGTGCACTTCCTCCCCAATTTCGACCTTCCTAAAGTATTCATCTAAGAAAACTCAAAACATAAAATATGTAGATCTGAGAGTCTTCATACTTTTGGCTTTGGAATTAGGTCATTCTGATCCAAATCGAGAAAGTTACGACCATTTTCCTGAGCTAATGCAGAACTGAAATTTCTGCTCATTTTGTGTTAAGAGTTTTTCGTGTGTGTAAGTCACTCTCCCGATCCTGTTGTTTAAGTAATCGAGCTTGTACTACATCACTTTAGGTTGCTTAGTATTTCTAAAAAAAGAAATTACGAGCATTAAGACATTTGAGCTTACGATAACTTGAGAAAGTATTTATAAAGGTAGAGTACTAACTACCATTTACAAGGACTTACGACTAATTTACGATTACCCTGGTCAATTATTGATTATTGGTTGTTCCTCTCAACACAATTTCAAGTACCTTACCATCCCATTAGTTAATTGCTAAGTGATAGGAAATTCTTCGAAACGGTATAGCTCGATTACCACACAAAAAGGCAAACTACCAACTAGACATGCAATTGAGATCGTGATGATTTCAAGCGAATTACAATTGTTGGAAGTGTTGGGATTTTGGAACCAAAATCCCATAGAATTGAATGAGAAGTGTGTGGGTGAAAGTGTCCCACATAGGGTAGAAGAGAGATGGGAGATGGGTTCAAATAGTTGAGCCTCACAAATGGGTTTGGACCCCAAGGGGTACCCCACTTTTGTGGAAGAGAGAGGACCTACGTCGATCTAGGTCAATCCACCCCCCGCGCGCGCCGCCGCCGCCTGTCCGACTCGATCTAGGTCGGTCCCGTCCGGTCGATTCGGTTCGGGATCCACTCTCTATCGGTTTTTATTTTTTTATTTTTTGGACAAATAAACATGTCTGTTCGTGAGGTTCGGTTCGCCCGAATGGAAAACCGAAGCCCTTTGCGACTGTTCACGAACCTGGTTTTTATTTTTTTATTTTTTGGACAAATAAACATGTCTGTTCGTGAGGTTCGGTTCGCCCGAATGGAAAACCGAAGCCCTTCGCGACTGTTCACGAACCGAACCGGTTCAAGTGAACCTTCGCTACTGTTCACGAAAATTCGCAACTCTTCATTTTTCGCCACTTGAATAAGACCGAACAGTTTAGTTCGGAATAGACATCACTTCGTGGCATTCATTTTTTCCCGACGCACTCTACGCATATTCACTTCATCATTGTCATTTGGTGCGATTGTTCTGCAAAATTGCGTTCGTTGGAGTCCTCCGAATACGTACCGCTTCGGAGGAACGAGATCCGTTCTATCCTGGGAGACGATTGTCCAATATCCTCGGGTACTGATTGAGGGGCCAAATTTGTCTTAAGGACACGATGTTAATTCGTTGGGCTCGGATCAACATTCTGCTTATTTGGTTGTACTGCTTTCAGGTTAGTTTTCCTAACGTTTGATTTTAATCTCTGATATACGAACTTAGCCGAACAACAATCTTAAGACGAATTTTCTTCGGTTCTGTTCGTATATTCTTATGTGTTGTTCGTTGAGTTTTTCTGTCCAATATCGGTTTGCCGTTTCTTTAAGTCGAACCTTTGTTTTTTGTATGTTCGCTTAGTTTTTGCCGAATTTCTATCACACCGTTCAATTCTGCTTGTGTCGAAATTCTATTACAATATTCGAAAATTTTCGTATTCAGAATACGATTCTGTTCATACAATTTTTCGTTACAATTTTTCGATTCTATTCGTGAACAAATTTTTTCATTTCTGTTCATATTGAAATTCTCAATTCTGTTCATGACCAATCGATTCTGTTCATAGTCATAAATTTCCGATTCTGTTCGTGAATATGTTCTGTGTTTATATTTCAGAAATGGCTTCGGCTTCGACTCCGGTTAATCCTATTCCGAATCACGGAGAAAAGCCAGAAAAGTTCAATGGTACGGATTTCAAGAGATGGCAACAAAAGATGTCGTTCTATCTCACGACCTTGAACTTGGCTAGATTCCTCAATGAGGATGGTCCTAAATTGGACGTTGGAGAGACAAATAAAGAAAAGCTTGCTGCTGTGGATGCATGGAATCATTCTGACTTCCTGTGTCGCAACTATGTCCTCAACGGTCTGGACAATACTCTCTATAACGTCTATAGTCCGCTAAAAACGGCTAAGGAGTTATGGGATAGTCTGGACAAGAAATACAAAACCGAAGATGCCGGATGGAAGAAATTCATTGTCGGTAAATTTCTGGACTTCAAGATGGTTGATTCAAAGACCGTCTTAAGTCAGGTTCAAGAGCTTCAAGTGATTATGCATGATATTCATGCTGAAGGAATGACTCTAAGTGAGACATTTCAAGTGGCTGCCTTCATTGAAAAAACTGCCACCATCCTGGAGAGATTTCAAGAATTATCTCAAACACAAGAGAAAGGAGTTGTCACTTGAAGACTTGATTGTTCGGTTAAGGATAGAGGAAGACAATAGAAATTTCGAGAAGAAAGTTGGCAGCAATTTGGCGGTCTAAAGAGCCAATGTTGTTGAAGAAGGATCAAAACCCAACAAGAAGAGGAAAATGCCTAGCAAGTCTGGAGAGGGATTCACCCAAGGCCTGAAGAAGTTCGTTGGCAAGTGCTTCAACTGTGGCAAGTCTGGACATCGAGCCAAAGACTGCAGAGCCAAGAAAAGACAGAAAACTCAGGCTAATGTGGTGAAAGAAATTTCCAATGGTGTTGATGATATCAATCTAACTGCCATGATATCCGAGTGTAATATGGTGGGAAACCCCAAGGAGTGGTAGATTGATACTGGAGCAACTCGTCATATCTGTGCAAACAGATCGATGTTCTCATCCTACACAAGTGTGGGGGGTGATGAAAAACTTTATATGGGTAATTCATCAACCTCTAAGGTTGAAGGTGTTGGAAAGGTTGCTCTAAAGATGACATCTGGGAAAGTTGTGACACTAAATAATGTGCTACATGTGCCAGACATATGCAAGAATTTAGTGTCCGGATCTCTTCTTAGCAAGAATGGCTTCAAGCTGGTTTTTGTATCCGATAAGTTTGTACTCTCCAAGAATGAGATGTATGTAGGAAAGGGTTACCTTAGTGATGGTATTTTCAAGTTGAATGTAATGACTGTTGTACCCAATGATGTTATGAATAAAGTTGTTTCTGCTTATGTGCTTGAGTCTCCTAATTTATGGCATGCTAGATTAGGACACGTTAACTATAAGTCGATAAAGAAATTAATGAATATGGGACTGTTGTCGAAATTTGATTGTCCAAGTGAGAAATGCCAAGTGTGTGTTGAATCTAAATTTTCTAAGCCTCCTTTTCATTCTGTAGACAATAGAGTCTTAGAACCTTTAGATTTGATACACACAGATATATGCGATATGAAATCAATACCGTCAAGAGGTGGTAATAAGTATTTTATCACATTTATAGATGACTGCTCGAGGTATTGTTATGTTTATTTGCTTAGTAGCAAAGATGAGGCTGTGAATGCTTTTAGAATTTATAAGTCCGAAGTTGAAACTCAGTTGAATAAGAAAGTTAAAATGATAAGAAGTGACAGAGGAGGTGAATATGAATTTCCTTTTGAGGAAATTTGTACTGAATTTGGTATCGTTCACCAAATGACTCCTCCTTATACGCCGCAATCTAATGGAGTGGCGGAAAGGAAAAACCGGTCTTTAAAGGAAACAATAAATGCATTGTTGAATAGTTCCGGTTTACCACAGAATTTGTGGGGGGAAGCTGTTTTGACGGCGAATTTTATTTTAAATAG